ATAACAGCTCCACACTGAGCTTTGCGCCATGTTGGTGATGCCGGTGGTAGATGTTAGGTGTTTGTGATATACCATTTTTATCATTTTTATTAAAGAAAAACAAAAAAAGAACAAACCTTTCACAGACAAGGTGTGTTGGAATTTGGGGGCATCTTGATTCCCCTGGGGTGATGAACTTGTTGTTATGTAGCACCTCCTTTTGAAATTGTGTTTTGCTTTTCTAATACCCTCAGTTTAGACCTTTTTTCTGCCTATACATATCAATATATACGTAGGCGTTAGCCGAGCTTCCAAAGTCGTTTTCTAGCCTTTTATCTTTTAGAAACTTTTCGTCGCGTGCACTCATTCAGCATTGTATGTTTTCACACTTGGTGAGATCATTTTTTTTGTTTATTCATGTGGGATTGGTGAGTTGTGCTTAGGTGCGTGTGAATTCCCCCTTTTTTGGCTCTGAAACTGGTTTCATGGGGTATGAGGAGCGTGGGCTTGCCAGAGATCCCACCCCCCGATACCGCATTGCCAACCGCCTAGACGGGGCTGGCGAGGTGGAGGTGGAAAACCCTCCCAACAGGTCGAGCAGACTTTTCGAGAAAAGTACTCACGCGCCCCCTTCCCCCTGCGCGTCTGGGGTTCTCTTCCCTCGATCTCTCAACCGCGATGATGAGCTTTCACTCCTTGCGGCGTCGAACCCACGACGGACTCCTCCCCACACGACCAAAAGTGGATCGGACTTTCCCGCACGATCCGACGAGCATCTGTCCGCGCCAAAGGGCCTCTCCGCCGCGTTAACGGCGGCCTTCTTTCCCCTCGAAAAGGGCGAGTTGGATAGGGGTGGGGAGGGCTCCGCGCGCGATGCGCGCCGCATTCCACCGCGCCTTTCGCGATCTTTCCACTGGCAGGGGTTTGAGTCCGCTACCACGACCCCGCCGGATCCCGGCATCGTGGCGGATCAAGTGGTTTCTCCGTCCACATCCGAAAGGGGTGAAATCGAACTTCACGCACGACCTCTTTCCGTACCCTTGCGCTCATCGCCAGGGTTTATCGCATCCCTCTCGCCTTTTCTCGCGCAGGTCTGTGGGAAGGGGGAGGGGTGGAGGGGTTCGGATGGGGTGATATCGTCGGAGCCCGACCAACCCTCCCCTCGCCGCGCGGCTTCGCCAAACGAGGAGGTGGGGTGGGGTGGACGCACCTCCTCCCCCTTTCAACGAGAGCTAAGCAGCTTTTGCTCGGCATCCTCGTCGTCGTTTTCACGCGGAATGAAGGCAGCTAAGGGATCGACGTTCGGCTCGGACACCGCACCCGAGGCTTTCATGCACGCCGAGGTGAAACGGCGCCCGCGCAAACGAAGCGCGGCGACCGCGCGATTGGAAGAGCGGGCGGATTTTGAGGATCTCACGCGACGTTTCGCACTCCGTCGTGCGTCGATGGAGGCGGGTGGGGTCCCTGTTCTGACCGCCACGGATCTTCTCGCCACGATCGCCCCAGTGATTCCTGGGGAAGGGGAAACCGCTACCACGCGGTGGAAAGGAGGAGGGGGTCGGGCGGGGCGACGGGGAACTCTCGAAAAGACCCCTCGCGTGGGTCTTTTGGGGTTGGAAAAGGCTCCGTCGCCGACGTCCTTTGCGGATCGGGCGGCGCGTTTTTTGGAAGGGCCGCCTTGTTTCCCTTCTGCGCCGGATTCCCCCGTTGCGGCCGCGCAGGTGCTTCCGGGAACGACGCCAAACGGGTGGGATTTACCCCCTATCGAGCTCTCCCTTCCACGGGAGGTGGGGGAATCCGAACCGGTCGTTTCGCTTCTTCGGACGCGTGAGATGCGATTGGGGGACTACGCGCGGGAGCAGCTGCCGCTCCACCGCCTCCACGCGTCGGCTGGGATGGGAGGGAACGTCTTGGAAGGGGGCGGGGCTTCTCTCCTCCGAGTGAGGGGATCGCGACGATCCACACCACCGAGCTACTGGGATACCTCTTTTCCACCTGATGTTTTGAAGTGATGAGGGGGAGGGGGGATCTTTCTTTTTTTTCTCCTGTCGAGCGAGGAAGGGGGGGGGGGGTATGATGCTTTTAAGCCCCTTTTTCCTCGCTTCAGTTGCTTTCCTTTTTGCTGAACCGCTTCATTAGTGTTTGCTGCTGCGGACTACGTTGGAGATTGTCTCACCGCCGTTTCCAGACACATTTCCAGTGTGCACATTTTTTCTTTATTCTACATCCCCCCTTTTTTTTTTCAGCAATTAGTAGGGATCTTGAGAACACGGTCGCTGATTTTGTTTCTCTCTCTCTCTGTCTACCGAGAGGACGATTCATATTTCGCTCTTTTTTCTTTCAGGGATCATTGGCGCATATCTATATATCTATCTATATATCTTTATCTTTGTATATCTATTACGTCTTCAGAGGGGGATTAGGTAATGAGTGCACCGCCCCTTTACAGCTACTTAGGCAGAGCGAGCGGCACCGGGGGAGGGGGGCTGCCTGCGATCCCCAACGCCCTTCTCCCCAACACCGGCGTCGCGCCGAGCTACGCGCGCGCGGGCGGGGATTCCCATCGTAAGCGGCACGCCCTTCGTCGGAGTCAAAAGGAGGCGCTGATGTGGATGATCAAATCCGCGGTTCCGCTCGATTCGGATGCGCATCCCCCCCCCTCGGCCGGCGGGGGGGGTCCGGAGGTGGTGGCTTCCGCCTTGGGTGGCGGCGGAGCCGGCGAGGGGGGGGGGGGGACGGCTCCCCCGCCATCAATTTGGCGGCTTCTCATCTTCGACGACTGGGGCCGGGATATCATCGCGCCGTTGCTCAAAGTCGCGGATCTTCGCGAGCTGGGGATCACGCTTTATATGCACATCCAGACCGAGCGCGAGCCCGTGCCGGGGGCGCCCGCGATTTATCTCTGCGCGCCCACGCCGGAGAATCTCGACCGCCTTGTCGTGGACTGCTCGCGGCGGCTGTACGAGTGGGTGTACCTCAACTTCGCGGCGCCGGTCCCTCGCGGGCTTCTTGAGCGGCTGGCGCGGGGGTTGAGTGAGTCCGCCCTCCCCGCGATCGCGCATCTTCGCGTGTTCGACCGCATGCTCAGCTACGTCGCGCTCGACGAGGATCTCTTCTCGTTGATGCAGCCGCGTTCGTTTTGGACGTTAAACCGCCGCGGCGCCGCCGAGGCCGTCGTGGAGGTCCACCTGACGGCGGTCGTGGAGGGGGTCCTGCACGTCCTCCTGACGATGGGGGGGTCGCCCGTGATCGCGCATTCCCGCACGGGCGCCGCCGAGGCGATGGCGGGGCGCCTCGCCACGCGATTGCGGGATGCCGCGGCGGAGCGCCTCCTCCCCCCTGCCGCGGCCTTCGGCCGCCCCCTCCTCCTCCTCGTCGACCGCTCGACGGACCTCGCGACCGCCCTGCATCACCCGTTTTCCTACCGCGGATTGCTCGTCGAGCACGCCGGGATGCGGCTGAATAAATGCCACCTCCGCGCGGAGGGCGGGCGCGAGGAGGTCTTCGAGATCGACCCCGAGCGGGATCGGTTTTATGCCGAGAACGGCGCGTTGGATTTCGCGGAGATCGGGGCGCGCATCGAGGCAGCGTTGCGCGAGTATCAGGAGGCCTACACCGCCCTCGCCGCGACCACGACCCCCGGGGAGGCCGGGGCGGAAGGCGACGGCGAGGCCGAAGGGGGGATGTCGAGGCTGCTCGCCACCGCCCCGCTTCTGGCGGAGCGGAAGCGCTACCTCGACATGCACACCCACCTCGCCTACGACTTCCTGCAGCGGATTCGCGCATCCGGGTGGGATCGGCTGCACGGCGTCGAGCTCGCGTTGTTGCGGCGGGGGCGGTTGGATAAGGAGGAGTTCGCGCGGCTCCTGCGCGGCCGCAACGGCAGCCGGGCGGATCGCCAGCGGCTTTTTCTCATCGCCCACCTTCTCTGCGGGCAACAAGGCGGGGAGGAGGGGTTCGTGCAGCAACAACTCCCCTACCTCACCGCCGCCGACGAGCCTGGCGAAGGGAAGGGAAAAGAGGAGAGGGAGAGAGAGGGGGGAGGGGGGGGAAGGAGAAGGAGAAGGGAGCGGAGGGGGCGTCGCCGCGGGCGGATGGCTTCCCCGCGCTCGCGTATCTGAAGCACCTGCGGAGTTGGTCGATCACCGCCGCGGGGCGGCCCTCCGAATCGGGAAATAGCGGAGGTGGAGGCGGGGGGGTCTTTGGCTGGGGGTTCGCGCAGCAGCTCGCGAAGAACATCGCGCAGACGCTCGGCGGCAACGCCCGCGCGGAGCTCCCCCTCACGCGTCTGGTAGAGGCGCTGCTGCAGGAGCCTTCGGCGGGATCGGGAGGCGGGGACGGCGGCGCGGGCGTTGCCGCCGAGCGGGCGAAGTTGTTGGAGTCCGTCGTTGGGTTCGACCCTCATTTGCGGTGCGCGGTTGCCCTCGGCGAGGTGAGCTTCGCGCAGGTGATCGTCTTCCTCCTCGGCGGCGGCAGCATCGCGGAGTACGACGACCTCAAGCGGTGGGAGGCCGCCCACCCCGGCAAAGCGGTCTGCTACGGCTGCACGGCGATCCTCTCGGGGGAGGAGATGCTGCGCGAGCTGTCGGCGCTCGGCGAGGAGCTTTGTTGAGCGCGGGATGGACCTCTTTGAACTGGACGAGGG